CTCACAGTTCAGAGGTGCAGGCTCCCCAAAAGACCAAGCCCACTCATAAGACTACAGAGTGCTCGCCCTCTCCCTACACCTGACAGCATGTCACTAAAGGTCTACTTGTACCGGCTCCTTTTATGTGGAGCAGCAGGTCTGACTATACCATGTACTAGAAGGTGACCCCACCACCACCACACACAATATATAAAGACAGAGCCAGCTGGGTGCCGGTGGCTCATGCCTGTAATCCCAGCTACTCAGTAGGCAGAGGTCAAGAGGACCTCAGTTCAGAGCCAGCCTGGGCAAATAGTCCAAGAGACCCTATCTGGAAAAAAACCCATCACAAAAAAGGGCTGGTAGAGTGGCTCAAGGTGTAGACCCTGAGTTCAAACCCCAGTACTGGAAAGAAAAATAAAAAGCAAGCATCACAGCTAGACCAGATTCTCAAACTGGGAATCTAAAACAAATGACTACTAACCAGGACGCTGATGCACAAAGCAGATGGCACAGGACGACGGAAGGGCAGTGTAGGCGGAGAGATGGGAATTCCAGGAAAGAATAGGAAGAAATGCAAGAGAGAAAAACCACAGCAAAAATGGAGGGTACGTCTGCTGGGCTCATTAGTAAACGGGACTCAGCTGAGAAACTCAGCTGAGGATACCTCAAGGAAATCCCCAAAACTGAAAAGAAAGTGGGGGGAAGGGGGAGAGAGGGGAAGACCAAACGACCAAAGTTAATGTGAGACACCAAAGTATAATCCGGGAAGTTTAGAGAACACCAGCAGGATAAATGCAAAACCCAAAGCCAGAACAAAACGACACCTACACACGTCATTCTCAAGCAACAGAAAAATCCAAGACAAAAATTCCTGAAAGAAAAAACTTACTTTATCTACAGAGAAGGTGAGAATTATGTCTGACTTTTCCTCGGAAATATGTAAGCAGGAAGAAGCAAATCTCACACAGGAAGAAAGACAATCTGAAAAAGACTTTGTCTCTAAAGAAACTGAATCAAGCTGGGCGCAGTGGCTCACGCCTGTAATCCTGGCTACTTGCGAGGCAAGGATTAGGAGGATCTTGGGTCAAGGCCAGCAAACACCTGGTGGTGGTGCACGCCTGTCATCCCAGGGAGCATGAATACGAGGGTCATGACCCAGGCCAGCCTGGCATCAACACGAGGCTGCCTCTGAAGAATAACTAAAGTAAAACGGGTATGGCGAAGTTTTAGAACACCTGCCTAGTGAGCGCAAGGCTCCGAGTTCAAACCCTAGTGTTGCCAAAAAAAAAAAAATCATCTAATGTAATCCATCACACCAACAGGCTGAAAAAGAAAAATGCCGTGATCATAGCAACAGATACAGAAAACGAAAAAGCATTTGTCAAAACTTCAACACCCATTTACGATTTTAAAAAAAATACAACTTTCAGTAAACCAGGACCAGAGGGAAGCTTCTCAGTTTGATGGACTAGCTCTGAGAACTCTACAGCTAGCATCATGCTTAATGTTGAGTAACCAAGGCGTTTTGGGGAAGAAGGCAAGATATCTCCTGTTCTTGCCCATTTCCAACAACGTATTAGGAAAACTGGAAGTCCAGGCCAATGCAATAAGGCAAGAAAAGCAGATTTAGAAAGTATATAGTTGGGAAAGGAATAATAAAACTTTGCTCACCTGTGACATGATCATCTACATAAAATAACCAACTGACAGACAGAAAACACTGAGAACCAACAAGTGATTGTGGTGATGCTGCCTACAAAGTTAACCAATGCACAAAAGTCAGTTACTGGGCTGGGCTGGGTGTAGCTCAGGGCAGGGCACTCACTCAGCCATGTGTGAGTCTCTGGGTTTGATACAAACCCAAAAATACAGCCCTGCCTTCCTGTATATCAGCAATAAGCAAGCAGAATTCAAAATAAAGGAGAATTCCATTTACATAACATTAGCACCACCCAAAGTAAAATATTTTGGTATAAATTTAACAAAATATTTGCAAGATCTGTGTGGGGAAAAGCTACAAATCTCTGATCAAAAACTAACTAAGTAAACAGATATCCCAGGTTCATGGAGAGGAAGACTCAGCATTGTTGAGATATCAGTTCTTCCCAACTGGATCTACACATTCAAGGCAATCCCCATCAGAATCTTAGCAAGTTATCTTATGAATACTGACAAAATGATTTCAAAGTTTATATGGAGAGGTAAAAGGCCCCAAATAAGTCAAAGCAATATTGAAGGAGAAGAACAAAGGTAGAGGACTGGCACTACCCATCCTTAAGACTTACTGCCTACCACAATCAAGATGGTGTGGTACTGGCAAAAGACTAGACAATCGATCAATGAAACAGGGCAGGTAACGTGGAAATGGACTCACATGAATGTAGTCAACTGATCTCTCAACACAAGAGCCAAAAAAAAAAAAAATACAACCCAATGGAACAAAGACAGTCTTTTCAACAAATGGTGTTAGAAAAACTAGACACACACATGCAAAAAAAAATCTAGAACAGACCATACCCCTTTCACAAAATTTAACTCAAATGGAGAGGGAAGAACAACCAGAGCAAGGAAGACATTTAGGGCAGTAAGTGTAATTTCTATGATGCTATAACTAAGTCTCCATGTTGTTATGCATTTGTCCAAACCCACAGAATACACAACACCAAAGTGAACCCTTCATGGAAAGCACAGGCTTTGGGTTCTTATGACATGTCAGTGTAGGTCCATCAATTGTAGCAAATATACAACTCTGGTGGGGGACGTTGACAATGGGTGATTAGGATTACATCAGGAAAGGTGCATGTGGAAATGCCTATTCTTTCTGCTCAGTTTGCTGTGAACCCCAAATTTCTCTTGAAAAGTTTTTAAACATGCAGCCTTTGTGTTTCCAAGCCTGGCTTATTTCACTTAACGTGATGTCCTCAATTGCATCCATTTGCCTTCAAATCCCATGTCACTATTCCTCACGGCTCAGTAAAACTCCATTGTGTGTATAGACCACAGATTCTTGATCCAGTCATCAGCTGTGGGGCACCTGGGTTCTTTCCAGAGCTTGGCTGTTGTGAGCAGTGCTGCACACACCCAAAAAGCAGCACGATCACACACAAACTCAGAGGTAGAACGTGTTGGCGACGGTGGAATTTCTCTATGGAACTTGGGGAAGAGGGAAAGGAAGAGAGAATGATAGGGCATCAACAATATCATAAAACATAACATCTGTGAAGGGAGAGGACACAAGGATGTGTACTGAAAGCTGTTGAAGAATGGGGTGGGAGGTAAAGGGGTGAGGAGAGAAATGGAAAGGGTCGAATGGACCAAAGTAAAGTAGACTCACAGCGGGGTACACTGAGAAAACCCTCTGAACATCAACTTCAATATTAATAATGAAAGACAGGATTATAAAATAGGCACAGTGTGTGTGGAAGGGTACTGGGGGGAGGGTAAATGAAGATTAAGGTGAGGGTATACGGTGGATGGACTTCATATACCTATATGAAACAGAACAGAGAAATCTCTTGCAATTGCTTAACGTGGGCAGGGAGGGGCTCGAGGGGGAGAGACAATGGGGACGACACAACTAATGTATAATAACTTAAGCCTGATCAGAATCGTCACTATGAATCCCCCCTGTGTAATGAATACACTCAAATAAAAAAATGTGTTTAAAAACAAACAAAAGGGAATTACTGCCACCTACTTCTCTACCTGTTTTAAGTTGTCTGTTTGGGACTTCTTTCTACCTCTTCTGCTGTTCAGTCTTTTAAATACGAGTTACAAGACATAAATGATTGGGATAAGGGGATTAGAGTGAGCCTGTGTGTGTTCTGCTCTGAACTTCATGACCCACAGTCCAAAGTTCAATGACCAGGGCATTGAACTTAAGGTTACTACTGGAGTAGCAAGGGGTGGCCAAGGTGACAACACCCACAGCTACCAAAAACAGACACAAATAAGCCACTTTTGTTTATAGTAAGTGCCACTGAATAATAAAAGTAAATTTATTTCTGAATTCCTTAAGGTCATTAAAAGAGAAACATCAGCTCTCATATAACAAAAACAGTAGTAAAATACAGTACATAGGACGTCCTTCGAGTGATAATAAAAGTATAGTAACAAATGAGAAACAGTTACTTTTAACCTTAAATACAAAGGTGAAGCAATTTAATAAATTTTGTTAGTAAGAAAAATATATGCCCGTGTCTTTATTACAAACTGTACAAATAAAATATTGCACCTTTAAGTCATATGATAAATATGTACAAAGAGTATTTTACAAATGATCTTTCTTTTAATTTAATAACCTTCAACAGTCACACGTGATTGATGACGACCCATGGACGGCTGTGTCCTCCTCCCTTTCCCGCCCGTCGCTGCTCACCACCCCGTCCACATACAGTAGTGCTCCTCCCAGTGTTGAGGCTGACGTCAGATCATGGTGGGGCCTCGGCGGGCTTGCCCACACATGACTGCGAAGCCCGAGGCACCGTGCACCGTTCATGTGTCGGTGGGGAACCAGGTCCAGCACACCTGCTGCCAGAAGCAGCTCCCAGAGGCAGCGGGCCACGGGGACACTGAGGAAAGCAGTGTGACTGCTTACTTGGTGGGGAGGTGGGGGGACGGGAAGCGCCATCCAAAGCCGTAACCGAGGACCCCACAGCCAGATCAGCTTTGGAGCTTCCAGTTCAATGCCAACCCCAACGGATTCAGCAGTGATGTTTACTCTGAACTCAATCTCCACTTTGACACTGTCACAAACTCCAATATAAACCTAACCTTACCCCAAAGCTGACTGGCCTTAGCCCTAATTCAGCTTCCCTTCTCATCCAACCCAATCCTAGCTCTAATCTAAAAATTAGAACTAACCCTGCCTTTCTTTCCCAAACCCTAACTCTAACTCCTAGTTCTAAAAATGTAACTTCCAGTCTAACCCTAATTCACTTTGGGTTCCCCCCGCCGCAAAAAAAATCAGCTCAAATTAAAACACTATAAAGAATTCTTTTCAACTATCATTACCTTTAGATTACTTTCTTATAAACTTTCCAAAATAAAAAAAGTCATCAGGAATATTATTTTATGTATAAATTAGGTCTAATAGGGCTTTTTTTTTTGTCTGTGCAAGACAATGGTGCTTAGGAAGTTTCATTCACAGCTCTTAACAAGAGAGCTTTGAACATTCTTCAAAATCAGTAGAAAGGTTGGCGTTTCCTCTCCTCTGATTTCCAGGATGCCTCATTTGGTCACAGGTGGGTGACCACACCTACCCTGTGTTGCTCCCATGGATGTTCTGAGACCAGAGACAAGACAGCATCCCCTGTGTGTCCTCTTCTTCACAGACTAAACCCAAGGACCTCTGAAAATGCTACTGGTGCCCACATCTGAAGAACCACTGCCAGACCTCTTAATGTAAATACCGTGTAACCCTGAAACTCCACGGGGAGAAGAGGATACCGTCAGCTGCTGCGTCCCAAGTTTTCAGGAGGGACTGCTCTGGGCTAAAGCCACAGCACAGGATGACACACTAACCTTCTTGGTGACTTCCTGGTTAGACAGACAGTGATGAGGTCCCAAGTGCATGGGCACACATGTGTGGTATTTGTTTTTATTAATCCTGGAGTGCATCTTTGATAAGAATTGGCTTTCCAAACCTACCGTGGGAAAATTTCCACTTTAGAACCTTTTAACTGGGCTTTTTTGCATCGACCTCTGATCACAGAATCTAGTCTTTAAGCAGTACACGGTTTTGAACCAGAGATGTGGGGAAAAGAGCCTTTATGTTTTCCTTCATCATCACAGCAGCAAACAACCCTCCCACCCCCAAGATTTATCCTTCCTGGCACAGCTGGCAGCACCTTCACCTATAGAGAGAGGTCTAGGGAGCACAGATTAAGATGTTCGATGAACATACAGTAGTGAGTTGGGTCTGTACAGTCTTCTGAAACCAAGGAAAGAAATTTGTGACATGGTTCATCAGAGACTTTGTTAAAAAATCATTTGACTTTTAGGAACAACCACAAATTGAGATCGCACAGAGGAGAGGAAACTAACCTTGGGTGAGGGCCACTGCTCTGCCCTGGAGTCAGAAATGCACTTGACTCACTTCTCAGTTCAGCCATTCAGCCTCCTGCCACACCCTGGGGACCCTCACAGCCCCTCTGCCCTCTGCTGCTCCTCTCAGAGCCCCATTTTTGCAAGGTCGTGCTTCCTAGAGAAATAATAGGAATGGAATTTGGCCTGTGATCTCAGGACATCTGTCTGTCCATTCAGCTCTGTCACAGCGGAGGAGACTGCCAGGCAGGAGGGAGTGCAGAGGGACTGCCCATGCTTGTCAGAGAGCAGTAACCAATGTCCCCCGCACCCCAAAATTCATTCTTTTTTCTACTCTACAGAGCACTCACTGTGTTGCGTGCACAAAAAGGTGCTAATCTAATGTCCCAAGCCACCACATCCATTCTGAGTGGCCCCTTGATGCGACAGGGATGAGGTGGGCGCTGTCAGGGTCCGGTTTAGACAAGGCCCTGGTGACACCTGGGAGGGGTACGTACTGTCACAGGAAGGCCCAAGACAGTGTCTCCAGGAAGGAGGCTTCTGTTTCTGTGCACAGTGTCTCTGGGCCACAGGTTTGCAGCTTATCACGTGGACACAGTCGACCCTCCGAGACTGGAAGCCCCTCCCGCAGGCGGCTGTGCACGGCTTCCAGGGGCCTGTGCACCAACACCTGTCACAGGCCCCCGATGTGCAGTTCCTTCCAACGGCCGGCCTGAAATGGGAAAGAAGAAAAATAGGAGAGACAGGGGGTCGTGGGCACAGGGGTATGAGGAAGTAGAAATGGGTGACATATAGCCCCAGTGCCAAAATCATGCTCAGAACTATCTATAGGGTGGGAAGCAACAAGAGACTCAAGGGGCACCGCGTGAGGCAGGACACCAATGTCACCACCACAGCAAGGGCGCCAGTGAGCACACTCACTCAGATTGCACAGGAAAATTCAGCAGGAGGATGTGCAATGGCAGCCTTGCCACCCAGCCAGGCCTTCCTCCCCCGCCCAAGGCAGATGTGAGGCCTCTTGTCTTAGACTCCTCCACCACGTAAAACTGACCTCCCCATGAGGTATGGAATGACCTTGACAATGCCACCCACACCCTATGCTGTGCACAGCCGGAAAACCGTGACTTCCCACTGACTTCCAATGCCAAAGTCAAGACACACACATCAAAACTGTCCTCGGGCTGGTGCTTATGTGGTAGAGCGCCTGCCTAGCAAGTGTGAGGCCCTGAGTTCAAACCCTAGTGCCACCACCACCACCACCACCACCACCAAAAAAAAATGTCCTCATACACTGGAACAAATCAATCTTATTCCCAAAATTGTGGTCACAATAAGCCACTTGGGGTGGCCTGACGAGCCTTGAGTTTCCTGTTTATAAGTCCTTGAAACACATTCTGGTATGAACTGGAACGTCTACATGAGCCATCTCAACTCCTGAGAGCCATGTGCTCAGGGTCACATTAGGCCAGTCCCTCCCAGACTTGGGATCAGAAACTACCCCAGACCATTTCTTCATGAATTTGTCTCTGACGCCTCTGGCCTTTAAAACAGAACAGAAACTCAGTACTCTGTGGTTTTTAAGAAGATATCTACCCTGGAGGACAGCGCCACCTTAGTCAACCCACTTCGGGGTGTCTGTCCCTGCTCCCCAGGCCGGGGCTCCTGGAAGATACATTTGTACTGCCTGAGAATGTCTCTCCATCCCTGAAGATGTCCACAAGGTCACCTAACTGGGACTGGCTCAGGAACTCTCTTTCTCTTAGGGATTTGGAGGTCGCTGGGATAAGACCTGTGAACCTGATGCTTGGTGCCCATATTCTGCCCCACGGGCCAGAGAGGTAGAGAAAAAAGAGTTTTCAGAAAGAGTAAATAATTAAGCAGACACTCACAGAGCATCAGGGAGGGCGGAGAACACAAAACTCAAAAACAGTGACTTCCCTCATAGGTCTGACGGCATCCTCCCATTGGGGTCTTTGAGACATTTTTGTGGCCCTATTTAAAAGGGGTGTCCACACCCCACTGGCAACGACACCATGAGAAGACCAGACTCCTTCAGAGTAGAGTACACACGCAGTGGGGCGCAATACTCCGACCAGCCAGTAGGGGGAGACGCCATCAAAGGGTTTCCTTAAGAAATGACATCTCGCCACCAAACTGTGGAGGGGGGAGGGGAGGGCTGCCCTGGTCACTGCTCTTGTTTTCCCTAGTGGGTATGAACCTTAGGGACCCAAAGTTGAGTCACTTTGGACGACAGAGCAAAGCCCAAGTTCTTAGCTATCTCCCTCTGCAAAGATAAACTTTGTATGGAAAAAGGCTGAACAGATATTCCAGGCGCAGGGTTAAGAGGGTATCACATTGTCAGTCACATGCCAGCGGTAGGTGGGGTGGTCTTATTAGGTCATTGCGTCAGTCACTGTCGGCTGACTTTTGTAGTTCTTAGCCATTTGCTGTGCATTGACAGAAGGCAGGACGTCCTAACTATAAAGAATGAGTCACAGGAAGTGACAGGCTAACCCCAGAGCCCAGCACACTCAGACACTGGTCATTGGGCACAGTAAAAAAAAAACAAAACAACAACAACAAAAAAAACCAAGGTTAGTGCAGCAGAATCCCTTCCTCTGAAGACTGGGGACAGAGACACTGGGCCAGGTGACCACAGCCTGAGGTTTATTTTCTACATAAAATGAGAACGCCAAAATGGCAGCCGAAACCACAAAGTAACCCCGGTGGCTTCGAAAAACCCCTTCCACCTGCAGCAAGATGGAGCTGCTGGTCCTGAGGGTGGCAGATCCCAAGCCTGGCTGGCACAAGGAAGTGGATTTACAAAGATGGCGACAGCCTGGCAAACTTGAGCTTCCAGTTCATAGACTCGGAGTTGATACACAGAACCTTTGCTTCGCAGAACCTTCCCAGGGTTCCTGTCTCTTGGCCGAGGTTGGGAATCGCTCTGGGGAGCAACCTTTGTGTCATCAGCATTTCCTGAGGTCCCTGTGTTGTCATGAGTCCTGGCTCGCTCTGTCCTGACACTTCCCAGTCCCTCCACCACCCTTCTCAGTGGAGGTCACACCTACCACCCCTTCCCAGGGCTATCAGAAGACACCAGCAGCCACCACCGATCCTCTACCTAAATTCCCTAAGTGACTCTGTATAAAACACCCACTCACACTAGCGGAGCCCTACTGTGGCCACAGGGTGTCTTTCCAGCGTGTCCCTTGCTCCCTCTGTACACTTACAAAGGACATCTAACACCACACGTAAGGTCAGCAAACCGATAGTGTCAACTGAGAGTTGGCAGGAAAACACGAGGCCTCAGACTGCACTCGCTGTCCTCACCAGCTTAGTCCTTTGCCCATCAGCCACCAGGCGCTCAAGGAAAAGAACAGCATGAAAGAAAGGCAAAAAATATAATAGGCAAGCCAGGCACCGGTGGCTCACACCTGTAATCCCAGCTGTTCAGGAGGCAGAGATGAGGAGGACTGCTGTTTAAAGCCAGCCCCAGGCAAATAGTTCTGAGAGACCCTATCTTGAAAAAACCCATCACAAACAAGGGCTGGCAGAATGGCTCAAGGTGTAGAACCCTGAGTTCAAACCCCAGGACCACAAAAAATAAAAAAAAAACAGGCAATCCTGGAGAAAAGAGAAGAGAAATGAACGGGAACTTGACCCCAACACTGGGCACTTTTCTTCTATTATTTAAAAAACAATTCCGCCCTTTCATTCCACTTCCACGTCTTGGTCTAACACTATTTAATCAGATTTGAGCTTCTTGTTAGACTGTGCTTTTTTTTTTTTTAATTATATTATTATCCAATATTTTGTGCGTCTTGTTTTTCTGTCTTTGCTTGGAGCCTGCAAGGGACTAAAGTGTGGCTGGAGCAGACACAGAGGAGGCTGTGAAGGGCAGCAGGTCCTGTGCACATGGCAGGCCCTAAAGCAAAGCCTCTGCAATGACTTTCGCCTTGCAGGGAGTGGGGTGGGGGTGGGGGTATGGACTGGTGTGCATTTTGGGAGATGCACTCGCTAGCTCGGGCTGCAGAGGAGCAGGGGAGGGAGGGGACCAGGTGCCTGACGGTCCCAGAGACCAGGAGTACAAAAGATGGATTTGAGGGAAAAATACAAGGAGTCAAAATGCATATAAGAAGTAATCAGAAAGGTACAGGTTACAATGAGATATGATTTCTCACCTATCCGACTGGCAAAGAAATTTGAAAGAGTGAAAACCTATGTAATGTTGATGACAAGGGGAAACTTCCTATTGTTTGGTGTCAGGATTTTGCTGGTTCTTTGGGAATAGTCAAGTGAGCCTGCCTTTCAATTCAATTCCAGACCTAAATATCCACCCCATAAAATACCACCTCTGGGAACAAAGCTCTATGGCCTAGGATGTTTGTAATAGAAAAAAAAAAAACCAAACAGAAAAACCCCTGAAACAATCAAATGTCCATGACAATGGAGTAAAGGAAGATTAAAAAGATTAAAGGAAGATTTAAAAAAGAATAAAGTCAGTCTGTATGCCCCACAGATTAGGTAGAAAAAGCAAGCATCATAAAAATATGTGTGGCATATTAAAATAAAAGGCTGTGTCTGTCCGTGCGTCTGTGTGGTAAGGGTATCTTTGTGAATACAAAAGGAAACATCTGGGAAGGTGCACAGCCTGTGTGTGGTCCCCATCTTCTCGGCGAAGCAGGAAACTAGGTCTGTTGAGAACCAGGGCAGCTGTTCCAATCTCCACTTAAGAAAGCCTCTGGCTTGAACTTGTGGGGAACAGGAAATGCAGCCGGGTCTCCTTTGCCAAAACCTTACTGAAGGCTCAGAATGGTCAGAAGCCAACTGTCAAGGTTGTCCCATTTCCCCCAGAAAGACTGGGGATGCGGAGGAGGAAGAAACAGTGAGGCCTCCAGCATCTGTCATGACCCGGGCTGCGTAGACGCTGACACTGTACTAGCGAAGCCTTTCCAGCTGCAATGATCACACCCCACCGGGGTGTCGAGGGAGTCCAAGGCCACACGGTAAGAGAATGACAGGACGCAAGGTCCCTGGTTAGCGTCATTCCAAGCTCTTTCCCAACTTGCTGCTGGTTGGGGACCATTGTCTGGGATGATGGAGTTCCCCCGATGATGGATGGGGTCCCCAGATGACCTCACGAACAAAGCTCTTCTACTCACCAGCTCACACTTGTACACAACAGGAAAACTCCTCTCTTATTTAAGCCCCTTAGAGAGATCAAAATATTTCATTCTGCACTAACCCACTGTGCCAGGACCCTAATCAAAACGGGGAAATGAACTGGTTAATTGAAAACATTAGCAAAATTTAATCTATAAACCTCCATAAAGCCAGGTGCCAGTGGCTCACTCCTGTAATCCTTGCTACTTGGGAGGCTGAGATTGGGAGGATGGAAATTTGAGGCCAGCCTGGGCAAATATTCCATTGAGACCTCATCTCCAAAAATAACCAGAGCAAGGGACTGGAGGCGTGGCTCAAGTGTGAAGCCCTGAGTTCAAACCCCAGCTCCACCAAAAGAGCCAAAACAACAACAAACAAACAAAACCGAAAAAAAAAAAATACCCTCCAACACACCTTCTAGGAAATGTTAAGTCTGACCGACTGTATACACAGAGGAAAATGGCAGCTGGCCTCTTTAGGCCGCTGTCTGCACTCAGCACCCTCATGCTGGGATTATACGTGGCATGTACTATTGAGCACACACTGAAGAAGCCAGGATTCAAGGGGAATTTTCAGTCACGAGAGGAAGGTGGAGTCTAGAAATACTGACTTTGGGGAATTTCTAGTCGCTGAGTGAGGAAGGGGTCAACGTGGGCCACCCTGGGGAGGGGCCAGTACCTCCTTCTGTCATCGCAGGCGGCATCAGAACTGTTGTGATGTGGACAAGCCAGGTGATGCTGCTGCATCCTCCCCGCACAGTCCACGCAGCGTCCAGGACACTGGAACCAAAGCACAGCGCAGCGTGACCCGTGAGCTCGCACACACAGGCCCTGGGCACCAAGGTACTGTACCAAGGTGGCATGGCCAAAGTCCAGTTAGGGGGCCCCCTTAGTCCCCACGAGGAGTTAGAGAGCCTCAGAGCACAGCTCTGCAGGCCAGACACCCCCGCTTCCGAGCCTATCCACCTGTCCCCTAAAACTGTGACCACTGGGGGAGAAGGGGGAAAGGCCAGAGCAATCCACTGGGCTTACATCCAGAAATGACCACACTTAAAGCCACAAGTGACCGCCAAGTCTGGCCTTTCCTGCTCAAGGCAAAACTGGAGGCTAGTGTGCCAAGGTAAGTTCAGTGACTGAAAATAAAAATAAAGTTTGATTGGCAGTTCTTAAATTTCTCATGTTCATTATTGCCTCCTAACTTATCCTCAAACGCCGTTTTGTGCTTGGGAAGCAATGCTGTCTGCATCAAATATCTTTCAAATTCGGCTCTGCAGGAAAGCCAGGATCTTTTTGGTATGCGTTCTGGCTTCATCTCTGCCTTTACCTGCTTTCTTATAACAACTAATCTCTCTCATACCGTCCCTCCCTCTCTCGCTCTCTCTCCTTTCTTAGCAAACACCTTTGCTGAGCTATAATTCACGCCATACGATTCACCATTTAATTTGCACAATTTAATGGGTTTTAGAGTTGCCTTGCCACAGTAAATTTTAGAACATTCCATCACCCCCTCCGCCCAAGGTGTCTCAGTCCCTCCTCCCCGCCTCTCCCTCCAGGAGAGGCGCCCACAGATCAACTCTGTGTGTACAGTGGCCTCGTCTGCACTTTTCGAGTGCGTGGCTTCACACAGTGTGTGGCTTCGTGTCAGTCTTGCTTCACCGACAAGGCTTTCAAGGTCTTCTTGCCTTTTAGGGCCATGTAATATTCCATGATAGAAACATGACCGTTTCCCTGCTCACCAGTTGTTTTTGCCTTTAGGTAACTTTATGATTGTGTTGCTTCTAGTTTGGGGTTTTCTGACTTGCAAGAACAGGCTTTCGTGCAGACATGTTTACATCACTCTTGGCTTCATAGCTAGCGGGCACAGGTAGTCCGTGTTTAACCCGTTGAGGAACCCCTGGGCTGTTGTCCGAGGTGACCGCCCCTTCCACCTTCCCTCCGGGGGGTCTCAAGTTTCCAGTTTCTCCACATCCTCACCAAAATTTGCCACGGGTTTTGAACAAACGGCATCCCAGCGGCCGTGAGTGCATCGCAGCGTGGTTTGGTCTGCGCTTCCCCAGCGAGCAGGCAAGCATCTTTTCATGAGCTCATTGGCAGTTTTACATCTTTAATCGAGAAATGCCTATTCAGTAAAAAGGCAAAATCAATTAGAGAGGAAGCGCCTGTCAGATCCTTCGCCCGTGCTTTAATTGGCTTGTTTGTGGTTTTATCATGAGTGTGGTTTGAAAGATACATTGTAGATACAAGATCCTTCTCAGATCAAGACATTTAAATAATTTCTCACGTTTTATCTTTTGGTGGGACTGGGGTTTGAACTCAGGATTTCACACTGGCAAAGCAGGGGCTCTATCACCTGAGTCACACCTCCAGTCCATTTTGCTCTGGGTATTTTGGACATGGGGTCTAGCGAACTATTTGTCCAGGCTGTCCTCAAAACCAGGTCCTCCCAATCTCAGCCTCCCAAGTAGGTAGGATGATAGGCGTGAGTCACCAGCACCCAGAAATCTCTCCCCTTCTGCAGGGTGTCTGTTTACCTTTTTTCTTTCTTTTTGCAGTACTGGGGTTTGAACTCAGGGCCTTCATCTTGAGTCACCCCCTCACACGCACACCAGCCCTTTTATGTGATTTTTTTTTTTTTTTTGAGATAGGATCTCATGAACTATTTGCCTGGGGCTGGCTTTGAACCACAATCTTCCTGATCGCTGCCTCCCGAGTAGCTGGGACTCTGACAGGCATGAGTCACCAGCTCTCACCTCTGATAGCTTTCTTGATGGTCTCCTTTGCAGCACCTAAGTTTTCGTTTTAGTGTGGTTCTATTTCTCCATTTTTGTTGCTGCTTATACTTTGTTGTTCTAAGAAATCACTTCCTAATCTAAGCTGTGTACTTTTATGTCTATGATTCAAGAATTTTTTATAGTTTTGGCTCTTAAAATTAGGTCTGTAATCCATTTCAAGTAAATTTATGCACGCTATCCGGGAGGGAGTCTGATTTCATCCTTCTGTATGTGCATATCCAGTTGTCCTGTACCATTTGTCAAAAAGACGATTCTTTTCCCATCGAACGCTCTCCTCAGTCTTGTAGAGGATCTGTAGGTTTATTTGGGACTTGATTCTGTCTCCTTGGCCTATGCGTCCACGCTGTACAGACCACGCTGGCTCCATTGCTGCTATTCTGTCGTAAGTTCTAACATCAGGAGGTTTGAGTGCTCCAGCTCATTCTTTTCCAAAACCGTCTGGGTTATTCTGGGACACTTTTATTTACTTTTAAGATCAGCTTGTCAGCTTCTGACAGGGATTGCTTTGAATCTGTAGAAAAACTCGGGGTGTGCTGTACTCTTAAAAATATATTGTGAAATATATTGACCCATGAACAGAAGAAATCCGTCTATTCAGATTCTCTTCAATTTCTTTGCTTGTTTATTTTTTAAAAACCACTGTTTCTCCTGTGACTGCCCTTCATGCCTGTGTCTGTCCCTGCCTGAATAGTGACCACTATGCCCACCACAGCTCTGCGCCATGCTGTGACACGGATTGGCCCTGCTAATCTGTGCTCCTGGAAGCCTCTTGTCCCCACTTGCCCTCCCATGGAAACTATACTGAGTGTCACAGAGAGGCTGCAAGAACTCATTTAGGGCACTGATGTCTTTACAGTACTGACGTTTAGGTATCTTATTTGTCCAGCTTTTCTTCTATGTGTTTCAACAACGTGTGATATTTCCTTATGAGTTCCTATGCGCTAGAAACAATGGCTTTTATTGCAGTTTTATTAAGGGAGGCGTTTGGAATATGGGTTCCGAGGCCTGGTGTCTCCCCCTGATCTGTCTCGAGCTTCACTTATTGCACGACTGCATTCAAAGGACCTGAGCTTCAGCTCACTTTTGCTCTGGAAGACAGACGTTGTAATTTCAAATGCAGGCCTTGAAGCCAGAGCTACACACTCAGTTTGGAGGCCAATTAGACTTTTTTTTTCCCCTCAAAATTAAAAGAAAAGGTTACTAGAGTAAGGTGATGACTAGAGATACACTGTCAACGCAGGAGGTTACCTGACGCCCCGGTTCCGTGACCCCTCGGACACACGGACGACGGGAACATGGCTTCCTAACCAGAGGTCGGTCTTTGGTGGGGCACGCCTGTGAGGACATCACCTGCACCGTCCCGTTGGCTTTCATCCTCCTGCAGGTCACTTGCCGGCTGTGGGACCCTCTACCACAGGACACGGAGCACTCCGACCACATGCTCGCAAACCACCTGGGAGCAAAGACTACAGGACTTAGTGAGGCCGGCGCCAGCCTTGCGAGCTGATCCCAACACCAGCGCCGTCTCAGGGCTGTCCCATGTCCTATGGGATGGGCGACAGCATGGACAACTCCCAGCCTCCACCTTGTTCTGTTACTCAGGGACCAGAGGTTAGAGTAACAGGTTAGAGGTGGGGAGGAACCATCGTCACGTTTATTGGGAGGTGACACTCATGACACCCGTACAGCACTGGAGGTAGAGCTGGGCCGAATCAGGTGGACATCTGAAAAGGTGGATTTCATTTCACTGAGAGCAAACAGAGGAACATGCATCTAAGCACCTGTGCCGTTTGCTCCAAAAGACACTCGCCTGCAGTCTTCAGGTGTCCCCGTGTTACTCCCTTCTTACGCAAATTGACTTTGGTTATGGCCACATAGCTAGAGTGCCAGCGGACTGGGCTTGGATTCTAGATTTACCTGACCCTCGGGTCATGCTGCCATGAATATAGGAGACTAACCCTGGAGACAGACAGACACCTTTGAAATGTCCTGTCCTCTGTCACTGAAGACGCAAAGCAGTGGCTCCCACCTGAGGTCCTTGGTTGTCCAAGGGATCATGCCAGCTGACATTTCGCATCTGCTCCAGTGATAAAAATGCAGGCTACAAACCACAGTGGGGTGGCAGTGCCTGCGATTTGGGTGACCAATGAGTCACAGGTATTTCCATGTCACACTGCACTGTTGGTGGGCATCAAATCTGTTACCATACCAAGCATTTAAAAACGGGTCAATGAGTGTGTTTCAGGGAAACGGGTTTCCTTTGCATTAAATGCATTTTATCTTACATGTGCGAACTCCACACCAGCAGGGGGTCCATGGCCCAGAAATGCCATGGTAGAGGATCTGGGGCATTGAATGAACTGCAGGATTTCTACTGGCAATGACAGTGGACGACTGTATTTGTTCTAGGAATGTGCAAGGACTTGAGAGTATTTCATAACTGAGGCTGAATGTGACAGTCACAACTGACAGAAGGCAGCTTCTCAGGCCAGGTGCCCTTAGTTAACGCTGGCGTGAGCCGGCCACTCTCCGAGGCTGACCCTCAGCGTCCGCAGTGTCCGCAGCCCTGTGGGGCCTCGGCCAGGCAGTCGGTCCACGTCAGTGCCACTGCGTCTCCCTGTCTTCTCCAGTGTCAGGCTGCCTCCCACTCCCGTCCTCGGCACAGGGGATTGGATGTAAGGTGGGTATCCACGAAAGGAATGAGCTGTACATAATAGTAACCTTATTAAAATAAGGTTGATAATTGCATCCGTCTTACAGGTTTGAACTCAATAAATGCCTCTTTATTTGTTAATTTTCTGTGTTAATTTTGGTGCTATTTGGTCAGTCATTTGCTAGCTCTATGCTATCCAAGCACTCATTTCACACGTCTAGACAGTGTTGATGGGACAGACGTGGTGCTGAGTACCAGGAATAAATTATTCAGCAAGCATTTATAGATTTGCTGTCCTTGAATGGGCAGCAAAGTGGGGGAGCAGCGAGGACAGCTCATGGTAAGAGCTACGAAGAACAGTTAGCCTCTAGCACGGGGCTTGGTTTAGTTTGGAGGGCTAAGGTCAGGGATGGGTTCCCTGAAAACGTAACATATGGAGATATATGGAGATGTGGGAATGATTAAGTAAAGTGAGGTGCAAAGACTCTGGTCAGAAGGGCAGACTGCACAACCGAGACAAGAAGACCAGTGTGGACGGAGCTCAGGCAACCAGGGCTGCACAGACAGGAAGGCATTCCAAGTCAGCAATGCGCAAGGAGCCCAACTGCTTCTCCCATTGACTCAGCCAACAAATACCACTGAGCACCGTGTGACAGATGTGACAGTAGACGGTGTGGCTATGAAGATGGCGTAAGACAGGCACAGCCTCACGGCTAGGCATTTTGGCCTTTGTCCTAAGAACAAGGAAAAGTCATCGAAGAGGTTTAGCCAGAGGTCTACCGTGATGAATTTGTTTTGAAAGATGGTTATTTTTACAGAGTGAAGAAGGAACCATACCGAAGGAGACAGTAATGGGGGTGGGGGTCCCCTGGGTGTCCCTGTGAGACACAGGGCAGCTCAGACTCCAGAAGTAACAGTAGAGATTGACGAGGGTGGATGGAGGGTTGAGGTTGAAAAAGAGAGAGTCTGGGATGGAGTCAGTGAGACCTGGAATTCTGGGGTGGACCAGGGTTGGTGGTGACCACAAGTCAGCTTTTGACTCTTTTCTAATTACTGTCTTGTATCATCTATTATTTAGGAAAGGTATTCATGGTCTTAACTCCAGGGGCCATGCTTGCCCCTGGTGGCTGGCCCAGTGTCACTTTCTAGATAAACCCATGAAATGAGCTTCTCTGCAGTCCTGAGGAGGCGACTGCCCTTGTGAGTGCAGAAAGTGGACTTGGGCAGTCATTGAAGGCAAAGGCCATGCGATCAGATTGTCTTGGTTTCAATTCTGTCACTTTAGACTGTCGGGCCCAGGACGCTTTTCCCATCTGTAAAACAGGAAACCAACATCTATCTGGCCTGGCAGGCTCCAGTGAAGTGAGCCCATCCACGAATGTCTGGTGCACCATGTGTGCTAAATAAATCTTGGCTGTTGAGCTGTGATGCCTTTAAATAAGCCAAACCTTGGCCCTGGTGAAGTAAGAGAGGGCTTCACATACCTTGCTGGGCAGTCCCGGATGTTACAAGGTTGAAACCCAGCCCGAGGCTTCCGGAGGGGGTCACAGAGGCCTTCACTCACTTCCTGCCCATTGGCCAGTACACACTGGGGTCTCTGAACACGGGCTCCCAAGTGGCCACAGGTGGCAGAACAATGTGTCCAATTGCCAGGTTCCCAAAAAGGCTCTGCAGAAAGGAGATAAAATGTCAAGGCAGTCCCAAAGACAGAATCTGATGGGCTGGAGGCAGTAGGGCGGGAGACCACCACGAGCTGCTCTCTGGTGGGCTGCCTGCCTGCTTTTCCAAGTAACTCACAGAGAGAAAGCTCTTGCATAGTGCAGGGGGCCCTTTAAATCTTCTTTTCCCTCAACTCACTTATTGCAATAACTGACGGGAATAGTGGCCAAAATGGGTTCCTTGGACCACAGCCTGGAAGAGGGGCTATTGCAGGCCAACTCGGTCTGCCAGGAAAACCCCAGAGAGAGGGAGGAGGTGCTCTGTGCAGTGGGCCGCCTCCTCAGCTTCCTCCACTGAGTCAGCCAGCCAAGAGAGGAAGGCCCCTCCAGGGGACACTCCAGCACAGTCGATTCCCCAAAAGTAGATCAGGCAGAGACACAGGACATGATTTAGAAGAAGGAACAGAGGCCAGGGTTTATGCAGTAAGGTTAAAGTCGTGTTTGAGTTCCATTCTTCTTTTCCCATTAATTCTTAATCAAAACTTCAGATTATCCCTGAAATTACAGAAAGAATTTGTCAAGACATCTGGGAAAGATAAAAAATGGTCTTTTCGTTTAGAAAGAAAAGTAGGGGATAACCACCTCCAGTAGTCACAGCCCTTATTTGGTTTTGTTTTAGACCCTGTTCCAAACAGCCTTCCCTTCTCTGCTGACACCTGGTGAAAAGTGAGGTAGGACCTGACGATGACAGATTTGTGTATGATCACAGAAAGTGCCAGATTTTCCTCTAATGATCACGAGTAATTGATCACTACCAGCTGTGTCGGCAGGCTGGCTCACTCAGCAAGGGTGACTTCTTCAACATACTGTTTTCCAGTTTTTCCTTCTGAGTTTTGAACTTTTTTGTCTCAAATTGGCATCATTTGTGGAGCATAGCTGTAAACTATATTTGGAGTTTGACCCTTAGGATTACGGTTTACTTAAAAATTGTTTGTTTTTTCAAACCTGGCTGCATATTGAGACCCTCCCAGGTGACAGGTACAAGGTTAGACACCCTATAATCCATTGTTCACTTGGTCTTCCTGGTCATTCTGTGAGGCAGATGAGTTTATTTTATTTTTTTGTTTGCAGTAGTAAAGATTGAAGAAAATTAAGAAACTTGCTCCAGGCCTCTCACCTGTTTGCTGCACTGGAACCCATGTGGGTCTGACTCCAAATCGTTCTTTGCCACATGTCACAAGGACACCTTGACAGTTCAAGGCATTTAAAATGCATGGCTTCCTATTAAAGTATGATCTGCATACAATAAAATATCCAGATCTCAGAGGTGCCGTTTGATGACTTTCCACAATTGTATGAACTCATGTAACTACAATCCAAAGCAAGGTATATGACATTTTCATCACCCCAAAAAGTTGCTTTTTACTTCTTCCCAGTCAGGTCTCCTCCCCTCTCACACAACCACCGGCTCCTTTCTGTCCGGATTCCCTGGCTTTCCCTATTCCTAGACTTCACGCCTTTGTCCTTTTGCATTTGGCTTCTTTCACGCGGCAGTTTCTGAGAATCTCTTAAATCACGGAGCTCAGCAACAGTTCATTCTTTTTCACTACCAACTGATACTCCATTTGTGAGTGCGTCATGGGTTCCTAGAATCCATTCCTTTCTGGGCTGTCACAGGTAAGGCAGAACATCCTTGCACCAGCCTTTCTGTGAGCACGTTTTCACCTGGCTGGGGAAAATACCTGCAGTGAAATGCCTGGGTCAGGGGTGGGTGTGTGCTCAGCTTCAAAACAAACCGTCAAACGGTTTTCCAAAGTGGCCTCGTCTCACCGTCTTACCCGCTAAGCAATGCCTGTCAGGAGTTTTTAGTTTTATATTCTTGCCGAGAGTGGTTCTGTCACTCTTTCTGTTTCCAGCTACCCTGCCAGGTGTGCGATAGCATCTCCTGTGCCATCTGTAAACCTGTGCCCACTGTTGACTAGCAGCTGTTCTTTATATATTCTGCATTTAGTTCTTCAGCTCAAACTTGTAGACATTCTTACATCATCTAGATACAAGTTATTCATTAGCAATGTGTTCCGCAAGTTTTTTTCCCAGTCGCATTTGAAAAGTAGATCTTATCACAACTCTCCTACATGGCCCCTCAAGGGCCTCAGTCTTTACCTTGACCCTCAAAACCCTGAGGGTCTCCTCACCTCACTCCCCTCCCTCTTGCTCACAGCACCCTCGTCACATGCATCTTATTTCTGCTCCTTGACCTCATTAGTCCCTGTCAGTCTTTGCGCAACTGTTCCCTCTGCCAGAAAGGGTCTTCCTCACCTTCCTCCATCTCATCCAGTAGGTCTGGGCTAAGTGTGACCTCCCCAGAAGTCTGTTCTGACTCTCTTCACTAAGGAGGCTATCTGCGCGGTGTAACTCATCACTTTGGGTTTTTTTTTTAACTTCATAGCAAAACACATATCTTATATATGTATTGTTTACTTATTTCTTATTCATCTCTCCTACTGGAATGTTAAGTCCATAAATGCTGCCCTATTCAACACCAGGTCAGGACACGCTATGTATCAGTCACTCGATCAAAACTGAGTCTCTTTGAAATGCTAAGGTAAGGATCCACCGAAGGGTTGGTATATTTTGCATTGTGTACATATATGGTGCGTGTGGGTGTTCGTGTGTGTGTAGGGGGTGACCGATGTGTGTAGCGCTGATAAACCAAGTGTTTGACTACTGCCAAGGCTTGACCTTCACCTGTAGCTCAGTCTTAAGGATATCCATTTTTATTAACTGCTGGGGCCAGCTCTCGTCCTTCATGTTCTGTGGCTTGCAACTTCTCTGTGCCTTTGCACACCCAAGTTCCTCTGACCCATGTCCTTCTTTCTCTTCCCTGAACAAACATCATGGCCGACACAGAAACTTAGCCGACTTCCCCGGGGCGAGGTAAGACCCTTCTTCAACGCAGTCATTGACTTCCCTCATTCCTCCATGATGGCTTCAAAATATCCATTTACGTGACTGGCTCCCTCTCAGGCTGTGAGCTTCTCCAGGGACTAAGTCACCTCTGTATCCCTAGCCCAGGGAAGAGTAAGCAATCCCTGAATATTCCTGATGGCAAGTGAATAGAAACTGGTGCATGTCTTAATGCTATTATGTCTAGAAGAAGAAAGTATCTAAACACCTCAGCTAAGGAGGCCATAACCAACACGTAAAGGATTGTTGATTGGCAGCTCAACATTATTTTCCCCTCCCAGGCTCTCCCTTGCATCTCAATCTCCCTAGATTGAGAAACCACTTCCTCAATCTACCTGCCAGGTAATGTTCTGCATGACTCATTCTGCAAGGCGAGCTAGTACTCCAGGCAAAGAAGGATAAAATGACACTGTCATTACTGTTTCTGCATAAAAAGAGCCAAGCACAAGGGGTCACAGTAGCGTCTGTGTGTCCTGTGACATGCCCACTTTTGAGCTACAGGGAGCTGAGAGCATCAATAATGACTTCCTGTAATTCTAGCGTTTCTGAACTCCACCTTCCCTTGGCCTTCTGAAGAGGTTTTTGAGCTTGGAGTACTTAGGTTCTCCTGATCAAGCACTGACGCATAACAAAGTTGATACGTACGAGAAATTAATTGACTCTAGAACTCTTAGCAAACCTTCCCTCTATTACTATTTCCTGAGTTGCCAATAGTCTTACACTGGAAAGTCAACACCTCCATCATTATCACAAATAATGGTGCACTTAGGGATAAGAGTCCTGGGCTTCCTCAGAAGCAGATCTTCAAAAAAAAAAAAAAGTATCTCAATGTGGAAGGAATAAGTTGAGCCACCAAAGACTGAGGGGCAAGGAAGAATTTGGCCAGCTGCCTCGGCATCATTTCAGATATTGCAGTGAAACCATGGGGGTCCTCTAGCTAAGCCCTCTTCTTTACCCCCTGCCTCACAAGCAGGAAACCTCACAAAAGCCTGAGTTGCAGACCTGGAGTCAGGGGCGCTCCTGCCAGGTCACTGTTGTTGGTCCTGGAGTCTGGCGTCTGGAGAACATGGTTTTTGCGTCTCTTATAAAAGTTGATTTTGCTGCCTGGCCATCTTCGTTCTGAGAAAACAAAAAGTAACACCTTTCACCAATTTGCAACCATTTAATTCTGATTCCAGCACAGGTGTTCTTAAAGGCAGCTACTAGGAAATAAGCCCTTTCTTTTTGGTGATACTGGGTTTGGAACTCAGGGCCTCACGCTTGCTTAGGCAAGTGCTCTACCACTTAAGCCATGTCCCCACCCTTTTGGCTTTAGTTAGTGTTTTTGGATGCTGTCTCCCATTTATGCCTGGGCCTGCCTCGACTGCAGTCCTCCTATTTACACATCCCGTGTAGCTGGGATGACAGGTGACCATCACGCCTAGCTTTTGGAAATGAGCTCTCTTTGATGGAATGCTGGGTCCCAGGATGCTCGGTCTCACACGGGCCTGGACATATGGGTGGGGTGGGTGAATGTGACACTCACCCAGCAAGTGGAGGACAGATATGGCCACTGCCTTTCCAAGAGCATTGGTGGCTGTGCAAACATAGGTTCCTTCATTCTCCAGAGACACATTCCTCAGCAACAGGGACCCATCGTAAAGCAAGGAGAGATTGTCACCCAGAGGTCCTCCTCTCTTCAGCCACGTGACATGAGGCTGAGGGACACCTTTGGAACAAAGCAAAACCAACCAAGGCAATTCCTTTAAGACCAGGGCCACCACCACGTGACAAGAACCACTTAGTGCTTTGACCACTGTCAGCAAATGGGCTTAACATGGGGGGGACGACATGTGGGGGTAGGGTAGAGAGAGAAATTCCCACTGGTGAGCAGTCACCAGGAAGTCTTTGGAAAATAAAAATATCCACTTTGGGTCTTTGAGTTGCTTGCTGTGCACACACAATTCCAACATTCCTCCGGGAGGAAGAACGCACAATCTGCAGGGAAGCAGACTCTGCCCATCAGGGTGTTGTAAAGGAGGATGATTTCAGGAAACAGAAAGAAGTGCTGTGTTTCAAGTGAGGGTCAGTGTGCCATAGACCACAGGCAACAATGCAGGGGCCTGGAGAAGGGAAGGAAAGCGGGGATGTGAAGAATTGGAAGAATTTCTTTCCCCCCCCTGACCTCAAAGTCTTAGCGTTTTGCTGGGCCATGGTATTCAAAACTCAGGAATCTTTCTTTCTTTCTCTTACTTTCTCTCTCTCTCTCTCTCTCTCTCTCTCTCTCTCTCTCTCTCTCTCTCCCTCTCTCCTCCCTCCTCCCTCCCTCCCTTTCTCCTTCCTTCCTTCCTTCCTTCCCTCTCTCCCTCCCTCCTTCCTTCCTACCTCCCTCTCTTTTTTATCTTTCTTTTTTTGGCTGTACAGATATTTTATTCTTAAGCTTGCTCATTTCATTCGCTTCATTTTAGGTGGAGTGTTTTATTTTCTGCTTCTGATAAAATTTTATTCCTGTGAATTTGCTTTATTCTTTCCAGTTCTTTATTCTGTTTTTATTCCTGCCTCTCTCAATTTATTTTAAAATTTCTCTTTGTGGGTGGATAACAATGGAAATATTATGTACTCGTGTATGAAAATGGAAAAATGAGACCTGGTGAAACTGTTCCGGGAATGGGGTGGGGGGTAAAGGAGGATGATGGAGGGGGAATTCAACTATGAGATATTATAGGAACTTTGGTAAATGTCACAAGGTACCCCTAGTACAACAATAATAGAAAAATCCCCCTTTGTTTTTATCTCACCTTTCTTATTTTATGTGAACACAGGCTGACACTACCTAAAATCTGCCTTTTTGGATACCTCTCATGTACACCCGAGCATTAGATGACTTGTCATTTTTGCTGTGTAGCCAGAGCACTGTCAGTCAGAGCTCTCAGACGGCCAACATACTAGGTCAAGTGCTGTTGATATCAACTTATATACTTTATCATCATGTCAAATGGTTACATTGGAAAGGGCAAATCAGGCATTTGTATCTTTAACCTAAAGACCATCAAAGTGAATTTGTGATTTCTTAAAGGTCTCAGAAATTCCTTTTGTTCAGAAATGGTAAGAGGGATGCAGGGAAGTTCATGTTAAATTATCTTTTGGGATCCCTTTCAGCTCTAAAATATGTGTGAGATAAATTCACCCACTCACCCATCCACCCACCCACCCATCCATCTATCTGTCCTTCAATTTATCTACTCAGCTCACTTTTCTCATCTGCCCTCTCTGACCAGAACTCTTTACAGCATTATTGCTGCTTTCATCTCGGATATTCCAAGCAGATCGTGAGCACAGAGCCTGGCAAAGAGCAGACCTGAGAATATTTGCTGAGTACATAAGTGAGCCAACTAGGGGATGCATTACTGCAAGAAAACCATGTGCTATTCCAAAGTTACATCGGCGTAACTTTTTTGGTCATTTGAGCCAATATTCTTTTCCAAATAGTGAAAACAATAAATTGCTGACGATAAGGTTAAAATCCCAACAAATTCAGACAAAATTAGACATTCTGGAGTCTATGGTAATTTGGTGAAGAGTTGCACTAGTTAGGAAGGAAAAAACCTCCTTAAATATTTGAGGGAAAGAGTGCAAACCATTTCAGAAATACCTTCAAATACTTCACGTGTCTCCACCACATGCACACAACAGAGATGTGAAATTAAATTTTTATTTATTAATTAAAGGATATTCCTTTAAGTTATTATTGCTTAAGCAATTGAACATTTTAAAAAAGGATTTCATAAATTTGAAAGCATTTTACAAGGACTAAGCACAGGAGGGAGAGAACAAGAGCAAGAGAGGGAGTGAGAGAGGGAGAGAGCGAGGCCAAGGACAAGGACAAGATACATCATTAAAGGTGTGCCCCCAATAACCTGTGTCCTTCAGTCAGACCCATCTTATAAGGTCCCATTCAGCCATGAACTCATCAATGGCTTGAATGATGAGGTTAGCATCCTCACGATCCAAACCTTCAACACAGGAGCCTTTGGGGACATTTAAAATCCAAAACATAACAGGAACCCAGGCTGGCTCCTATTTCCTACAGAAGCATGAGCCTGGCACTGCCCAGTTCAGTAGCTCTGAAATGAAGAGCTGGGCTGTTGGTGAGGTCTCCATGAATGCTGAACTCTGGGACCCTTGTATTCCTCTCATCGGAATTAAAACCAAAACCCTAAAATCTCCCCAAAGTGACTTTTAAAAGGGGTCCACTTTAGTCATGAGTCACTTTAATTGCCTATTATTTCCTAGTTGCTTCCTATCCCTCACACCTTTCTGCCCATCACCAGGTACTGGGGACAATGTGAATAGTGCTCAGATCCTCCCCCTCCCAAGCTCCCAATCTTTTAAGTCATCAGGACTTCATCCATCCAGCTATTTCATACCATGTAACTCCAGCTATTTTCTGAAGAGGGCAAACCCGCTTTCTCCAGAACGTCTTGGAAGGTTTGGACACCTGCACAGTAGGGAGAGAAGAATTTGGAGCTCCCACTGCAGTGTAAGAGATGAGGTAATGAGAAGAGGACAGGGAGCGGGGACAGCCAGGCCTTTGCTGTGATCCTCAGATCTTTAGCCTTTCTTAATAGACTTGCCGCGGAAGCCAGGCAAGACCTGAGCTCTGTGTCCTGGGTGATGAAGGACAAAAGGGGACCACACTGTCTATTCAGGAGCCAGAGGCAAGTGTAAGCCCCAGATTGGTGTCAGAAGTGAGCTCCAGAAGGTTCTGCAATGTCCAAACTCTGGCACTGACAGGGGTCAGAGACAATCACACTTGGACCTGAGTTTGCACAGTTGGTGACATTCTCTACATAGTAGGAGTTTCAGAAAGCAAAACCAAACATAGCAAGGAGAGACACAAGTCCCCAAAACTGAGGGAGGAAGCAGAGCTGGGGACTCAGCCCCCTGGAGCATGGACACACGGGTGAACATTTCCAAAGAGCTGAAAAGGCCTGAGGACACTGAGACACGGTTCCTCACACTACTGCTTTTTGTGGTCTTTCAGAATGACAAATGTTTGCTCTGCTGAAACAGCTATAAAATGTCAGAAATAGTTTAAACTTATTTATCTAACCTCAGAGACGGGCTATTTCCCACAAGATTTGCAGCTCTGAAATATTCCACAATGCTGAAATGGTTTTTGGAAGGCAAATGTTGTGGAAAAAGTTCAGATCTGGAGGGGCGGGAGACATGTGTTTCAGAAAGTCTGCACCTCGGGGGTGTCTTTAAAATCCTCGGTGTTTAAAAACAAATTTCCTTCATCCGTGAGAGGCCCATGAAATTTTCCACACGTTATGGAATCTTGGTCTATTCACACTGCTCTAAAACTTAGCTGGAGTTTATCTACATGTGTCTTATCCCTGGTCATCTGTTTGTCTCCCCCAGCTACTCCACACTCACAAGACGACATTCTGCATTTTCTCCTTCCCCACCTAATGAGAAATGAAAGCTTGAACTATGCTAGTCACCTCCAGGGATTCATGAAGAAATGGATAAAATAAAAAAAAAAGACAAATTGAACACGGCACAGGCAAACCACAAGGGGACTTGTCACTGATAAACGAAACAAACAAATAGGAGTTCACAGATTCCATGCCAGAGCAACTATGTTAAAGCAGCCAGAATATTCTCAAAGCCAGGGCCAGGCTGCACGGCAGAGGGAGCATCCTAAGAAACACCCGTCTCCCCAGTGAACCGCACACCCTCTTGTTCTCCTTGACACCGTGTTCTCTGTGCTTCTGGGATATGAATGCTGCCCTATTGAGAAGTCCCGTGGCTCTCACCACGTGCAGACTCATCCTGGAGAGATGTCCTTTTTCTGCCCTAGCAAAATGATGGTAGCAGGTTGGTGTGGTCAGTTCCCAAGCAATTTGATTTGGGGATTTACAAGTCTGGGGTCCAGCATTCATAATAAAAAGCTTTTCCTCAGAGCCTCTCAAGATCCTTCTTCTCACATGGGGGGAGGTGTCCTCAAGTTCTCGTCCTGTCGTGGTCATCCCTGACCTCTCAGGTCCACTGGCTTCTGCTTTGCCCGGAGCTGGGCAGCTCTCCCTAACTCTGCGATCACCTCCCATGAGCGGATGGGTAGATATTGTCTTCCCGGTCTAATTTACAGGGTAGAAAGTGCCCATGACAATTATTCCATTTATTATCTCAAAACTAAAGATGTCCAGTGGTTCCCTGAGAAATAAGACTCAAAGTGAAGAGCTGGTTCAAGTCAGGCATGGTGGCACATGCCGGAACTGTCGAGGTGTACGCCACTCACCCACCGAGGCCAGGAGAGAGCCAATGGTGCAAAGAGCGTCAGCTCTCCCCAGCTCTTCCTGACAACGGTGACCCTGGAAACCCATCAATTCAGCACTGGACAGAAACACCCAAAGAGCCATTATTCACTCCCTAACAGCTGCATTAAAGATAGTGCTTCTCTGCATGTCATCCACCATGACCTTGACCTTGACCTTGAAAGAAAGGGGAAGAGAGGGGAGGGAAACCAAATCCTGTGGAACCAAGATGGGCTGCTGGTGCCCTGGGGTGGCATCTCAAGGCTGTGCTAAGTCCCCAGGGCGCCTCCTCCTCCTCTCCTCTTCTTCCTCCTCCTCCTCCCCTCCTCCTCTTCTTCTTCTCCTCTTCCTCCTCTTCTTCTCTTCTCCTTCTTCCTCTTCCTCCTCCTCTTCTCCTCCTCCTCTTCTT